ATGATAATGATAATGATAATGATGATGATGATGATGATGATGATGATGATGATGATGATGATGATGATGAAGATAAAGAGAATATGGGCTGCTCACTGACACTTTTTCGTCACTGACCGCTCACTGTCGTCAGGGTGCAGCCAGCTTTGCAGGGACGTTTATTCTGTTTGCAAATTTTTATATCGCATAATTTGTTCATAGGGAAACGTCGTTTTTTTGTACAAATTATGTTATTTATTTATACGTTTATTTAACTCATCGAGGTGCGTACAACATACTGAACTTATTGGGTAGGTTTCTTACGTGTCGTTGGAATGAAAAAGCAAAAAATAAAGCAAGTGGGAAGGAAAGAGATGAGTGATTTTGTAAAGAGACTGTGAGGCGAAATAAATTTACAACAAAAAAGCAAGCGGAGCCGTTTTAACAATTGGTTTGACAATAATTTTCTTTCTTTTCGACTTCGAATTCGTTTTTAATCGACATCTTTGTGGGGCTGGTCGTCCCTCGAAAATGGTGGAAAAGTTTAAACAAACAAAAGGTGAAGAAGATTAAGAAACGGACCTGGCCGATATTCTAGTCGCATGGTCAGAGAACAACAGATAGCATTTGTTCGCTGAAACAGGAGCGTAATAATTAAATAATTGTAAAGAAGAAGCAAGAATGTGAAGCGAAAACGAAAAATAACGTTTGTCTACGCCGCTGATCGACGCGCACTTCCATACCGGAAAGAAAAAATGATTTTATTATATCTTCCTCTAAACGTGTTTCACCGATCCGAAGCCGAATTCGAGCGAACACACACACAAACACACATACACAAACATATTTACTCTCGCGAAATTGCCGATCGCCTCCTGATTCGCACAAATCTTTTAACGATGGAAACGTTCCGTGAAGCCAGCCTGTACGCGTGCTTGTATTTATAATTTAAACACCGTTTATACATAGTTCTGCCGATTATTTAAGTTTAGAAGCGGTTTACGAATAATTCTAAAACGATTTACGGACTAGGAACCTTCATGCATCCATAAAAGCCTCAAATCTAAAATATAGAATATCATTTGAAATGTTTTACAAGAATGGAAATTTTGTTAGTACGAAATTACGTTATATTATTATATTATAGAGTGGTTGATGCATGAGCTACTTGGCTAAGCATTTCATTGACTTCGTGTAATTATTTATGATCTATTAAATGTTTGTTGTATAGCGTGATAACTACTTAATAATTTTAAAAAATCTGTGATCCACAGCTGAGGAATTTTTAAACGATTTTTCAATAGCATTTAAAAAGAGGAGATTTTTAGCTCCTTTCCTTTTATATACAGAGAATGTGTTACTGATAAGCTTCCAATAGGTACAGTCTCAATTGAACTTTCAAGAAGCCACTTCCAGTAGTGAAATCCAATAATTTAAATATTTCTAAGCTCCTTTTTGATACAATCATTACATTATCCTTCGATACTAACAACAACAAGCCACTTTCTGCACCATAATCTAATAATTTACGATATTTTTATGCTGTCTTTTTAAAGATTCCGTAGCGTATACTCAATCCGATAGAGAAAGTGTTAATATTCGCTAGATTACGTGAAGACAGGTTGCGAAAAAAGTAGGAAGTCCGACTAAGTTGTGAAATGATTTCAGTCTTACGCCAAAGAAATTTTATTTTGCATGGAGGTCCCTCAGTCTCGTAATTATCCGATGCATTTTTAAGTGCAGCGTCATCTACATAGCGTCGCGCGACCTTGGCATAAGGCGGAGCTTCTTTCATGGCTCCGATTGGCCAGCGGCGCGCACGCGGCCTAGCGATTGGCTGCGGCGCGCGCTGGAGGGGGTAAAGGGCGTCGCCTACGGTGGAAACGCTGATCCCGATGGGGTTCGTCACATCCGGAAACCTGAGTGCTCTTTTCGTTTATACTTATGCGAAACGTTCGATAGCGATACCGAGGCGAACAGTCAGTCCAACGACGAATAAACCAGTCAGGGAGCGTTCTCGGGTCCCTGACACGTTGAACGTAACTAATAGTCAAACTTGTCTATTTATTTATAATTAAATAATGATAATTGCCGATAAACCGTGCGCGGTCGGACGCGCGTGTTTCGTTCGATGGATGGCAGTCGTTTCCTACACGAAACATGTGCGACTTTATTATTATCCACACGGAGAGAGGAGAGAAAAAAGAACGTTCGAGTAATTATGGGGAAAATTAGGATTTTATATAAGGAACCCTTTCAGGCCGATGAACTTATAATTATCGTTGTGAATTTCTTGTACGATGAGAGGCCGATGATGCGAGGACAGCTGATGAACAAACAATATGATACGGGACAAATAAAAGTAATATAGTATTTGCAATAAACGTGGTTGGTCTTTCTTGTAATTATACTGCGACGGATCTTCGGCTTATGCGCTCTTCATTTCTTCATCCTGTTAACGACTACGCGCGAATTAATATTTCATTGCCAATCCCCTTTTGCGCAGGTGAGGTGAATGCGAACGAAAAATTGGCTACGAGAAAGAAACCAAAATTTTAATACTCCGCTGGAATTCGAACGCAACTGTGGTCGCGGAAATTATAAATCGCCGCTCGATGATTTCAAGATCGAGAGGTTATTGCAAATACTCTGTTCGCGATTATCGATCCCGTGAAGATTTTCCTAAGTCTCCGGCCGATCGATGGATCGGCCGATCAACTGCCTTCTTATGCCGATATACCGCTAATTGCCATTACGAAGCCATTGTGAGAGTAAAACGAAAATTCACTTACCGAGTGATGCTTCTCTCAAAGAAAAATAAAAAAAACAACAACAGTTCGTTTCTCAGCAGCGAGAACGAATTGTCTGTCGAGTTGTTGTGCAGTCCCGGCGATGGAGAACATAGAGTTATGCGAACAGTTCAAGGTTATAAAATTCTTTTTTGAACGAACACTGCTAGTTTTCCTAGGGTGCAATATTTCCGAACGGTTGTTTAATTGCTAGAAGGAAAATGAAGAAAAAATAAATAGCGGAACTTTACGGATTCAGTTGTATCCAAAGCAAAATAGCGGAGAAGCTCCGAGTAACACACAACGAAATACGAAGCAGAGACCGAACTGCCTAAATTCTAGCGAGGAAATTACCATTCGCGATTTTAGAGGTGCATGAAATCGATGCAGATTAAAATAAAGCAAAAAGTAAATAAAATAAAAGGGGGATATAAAAGGTTCGAACTCTTGATTTTATATTTTATATCATTTTCTAGTTTTGCGAATTTCTGTTCTTTTTCTTTTCTTTTTTTTCGTTTACGGTGACTACGAATTAATTATGATTCGCGCGTTAGACACGGGTGAACGTAACCAAAGCGAGACCAGGAAAAAAAAATAAAACTAATGCTGTATGTATAGTTTGCGTGCGTGTGAGAGAAACGTTTTGACGAACGAGAGAAAAATTTGTATGGTTTTTCTTTTTCTAGTATGACTTTCGTGCGTTGTTTACCCACACTGTTTGTTTCATTTTCTTTGCTACACGCGAATATTGTATGTCGATAGTATATAATGATAATTTATGACGGGAAGTGACGGAAAACATTGTTAAATTTCATCGGTGCCAGCGGAAACCGGGGTCTAAAGTATTACACCGATCTACTGCGACTACGATCACGGACACTTACGCAACGAAATTGTTGCAATTTTAATATCTAAGCCAAAAGGTTAATAGTATAACACAATGTTTATACAGTCAAACGGAAATCCGTAGACAAACATCCGCAAGACAATACTAATTAAAACGTTCATTAAATTTTTGAGATTGCACTTCACTAACACATTCCTCAGATTTCGCTTATTTGAATTGTACGTACTCATTCTAGTGTATTAATTATGTCTGTGTTATTATCATTCATTAGACATACTCGATGTCACAATAAATGTCCACCCTACTCTTATGTTACCAAACTGTGAAGTAACAGAAGCGTGGTGGACAGCTATTATAACTTCAGGTGTCTTTCGAAAATTTCATCAACTTGACATTTAAAATTTTCACCAACGTGACATTTAAAAATGTTATGTAACGATCAGTATTATTAAAAAAGGAATTAAAAAAAAAAGTCACTTTTGTAAGGAATATTTATATCGCAATTTCAAAGCACTAAAAAAAAAATAACTTGTGGGAGTCAAAAAATTATTTTTTCGCTATATTGGATGTTTGAAGTTTCAAGGTTTGGGTATATTTGAAGTTTTGCACTCGGATATCACCTGAACTACAATAAGTTTCGAAAAATGTATCAAATGAAACTAACTCTGTTTCGAGGGGGACATCTTATAATGGTCACAAATTTATACTAAGTGGAGTAACTTCCGAGATTTCAGGGTGATCTTGGTTCTTTTTAACGGAACCGTATATTTTCTTTTTATGTATGTGGATAGTGCATTTCGAAGTGAATTCATTGACCTATAATACTTTAGTCTTTGAAGGTCGTTCAATTTCATCTACAATGTTTGAGGGTACAACAAAGGTAAACTTGGAACGACATTAAATGTTCTTGAACGACCTTCAAAGACCAAAATATTATAAGTCAATGAATTCATCTTGAAATGCATTATCCTGTTACATGACAAAATATACAGTTCCATTAAAAAAAATGTCACCCTGAAAACTTGAAAGCACGTCCACCCAGCAAGAAGATGTAACACACACAGAACAAGTTTTATTTGAAACGAACTATAGTTTAGGAGATAATTGAGTGGTAATCTTCAAATGGAACATTCTGTACTGTATATTAATTGCGTATTTATATCGTTCCGATATGAATTTATATACTTCGTATGCTCACAATGTTACTTGCATCCCCTGTTACTTTTGGCTCCGGTCTCCCCTGAATCAACTGACTTCGACCATCGTTTACTCGATTTTCCTGGTTGCAGGTCGTTTTTCGATATCTTCATTTCAATTACTTTTGTACTGCTATCGAGGACGATCAATTATCTTCGATTTTCTTCTCGGGGCTCTTTACAATGCCGTTGTTGGACGCCATGTTTGAATGGTTCGAGACATACCAAATTATTTTGGTGTTTGCGAACGATTATTATTAGACTGCGGTCGTTTACGCTAATTTTGAATCCCTATCGCCTGGTTTGCGAGAAGCTAGAGAATTAAAAGTTCCGATCGTATTGTATTTTATTAACGCTTTTATAGTGTTCCACTGTCACCTTAATGGATAATTGTGCGATGCCGAATGAAATTTCTTCATTAAACGAAAATATGAAATGTTCGTCGAAGGTTCGATTTAATTGTTAGAGCGCTTTTCGAATGCATAAAAAAACCCGCAGTCTACTAATTATATCTCTACTGGACATTGTTTTTTGTTCAGAAGTTTGTAATTGAAATTGTCGTAAATCGTGTAAATTTTGGACTAATAAAATACAATTTGAAAGAAAAAATGGAAAAGAGACCGAATGGCAAACCCTCTGATTATGTAACTCGTTATGTTGTTTAATTGTTTTGTCTGTACATACGTTTTTCGTTGATCGAAAATAAATTTCTGTTTCATCCTTCGTAAGACATCCTGGCGAAATTTCTGTTTCTTAAAACCTTTCTATTCTTGGTCGTCCATTTTAATTTTACATCTAAGGATATGGAGAATTCAGCAGAACTTCAAAAAGTATTAATAATACATGCAATTAATATTATTAATGCAAGGGATAATTCAATTTTGTCTGAGCAAGTTACAAGTCACAAACAAGCCTTATGGAAGCCTAACGGCGCGGTGCTGGATTTTAAAAAGTTTTGGGTACACGATTTTACATTATTGTGTAGCGGGTGGACTTTCTCCAGGCGCAACTCACTTAATAAATACATATTTATTTAATATATATAATGATGATTAATATTTTCGACAAAAGTTGATAACTGAAATTAACATTTTTATATATTTTAGAACAGTAGATTGTTGTTTCCGTTTTCAAATGAAGCTCAAAGGTGAAATAATTATCTCCTGGTTTTCAAATTAAATTCATTGTATGCGTATATGTATATTCATATTCAACATGCGTATATGTTCATTCACATAGATTTTACATAGTTTAAATTCCGTGTCTATTTGAAGTTGATAGATGATAGATGCTCGTAATGTGAAAAGAATATAATTATGCATACGCAATGTCAAAAACAACAATGTTATTCATTGTCTACTGATTTTGATCGATAGTAAACTTTTTACTCCGTTTTAAAAACACCGTACATTTATAATGTTTGCGGCTGTTGTTGATCACAAGACAACCTTGAAATAATTGAATAATCACTTCCTGTTTAATACTTTATAATGATCTCGAATAATCTATTATACTAGATGATAGAGCAGAAATTGATAAGGCATTCACGTGATTGTTTAGGAATTTAAGATTGAAATATAGAATCGCTTCTTAATGAAATGTATTAATTATGAATGTCTATAAAATATTATTTTTAAATTTGTGACAGTATTTAAAAATATGTGCCCGAAATGTCGCAACTTGCAGCCCACTCATGACTCATGACCACCCTTCACCTTAAATGACTTTCATAATGCCATCAAGTTTTAGACGACGTAGTGATTACTAAATCAGTAAAATTTAATTTCATTTATGTACATTGTTATTCCAATCGATGAAATACCAATGTATAAATTAAAAGATATTAGAAAATATTATTACGATATAAGTTGTGAGTGGTTAAATGAACATTTAAGTCGTGTATTTATTTTATTAATAATTTAACAATGACAATTTATTCCTATTATTTACATAATAACATAGATACTATTCAAAATAATTTTTAAATTATTATTTAAAATAGTATTAAACATTCATCACAAAAATGTAGTTCCTTTGTCAGAGATAATTTTTTATATTTCTTCGTATTATTATTGCAAACATAATTCTCACTCTGTACAATATATACAATATCTGTCTCTTATACACATCTAGATGTGTATAAGAGACAGATATTGTATATATTGTACAGAGTGAGAATTATGCTGTCTCTTATACACATCTAGATGTGTATAAGAGACAGATATTGTATATATTGTACAGAGTGAGAATTATGCTGTCTCTTATACACATCTAGATGTGTATAAGAGACAGATATTGTATATATTGTACAGAGTGAGAATTATGCTGTCTCTTATACACATCTAGATGTGTATAAGAGACAGATATTGTATATATTGTACAGAGTGAGAATTATGCTGTCTCTTATACACATCTAGATGTGTATAAGAGACAGGTACAATATATACAATATTATGTATATAGTGTGTTCACATTATAACTCACTATTATTCTCCCTTTTTATATGACTTTATTTACATGATACAAAACTATATTGTCAGATAAGAAAAGATCATTACTATGATTAGAATGGTGAAATATTTGTTTATATTTTTGAGCATCCTATGTACAAAAATATAGAAAAAAGCATCACATTATAAATTCTGAATGTAATGCAACGTAATGAACGCTTTTATAGTTGGTTACAGTTAAGAACATAAGAAGTGCAATTAAAAATAAAAATATAGTTAATATACATATACAGATTTTGTACCTG